TTTTTTAATAGAAACGGCAACATTTACTTTTACAAACATAGCTTCAGCATTGAAATAGTTTTTCTAAAGTTAAAAAAACCGATAAGACTTTTGGTGGTTGTGAATTTTATTAAAATAAAAAAAAGGCTTCCGATAAATGTTTAAATTTTTAATTTAATTTTATCGTTATCAATCATAGTGCTATTTTAATTCATTATTGATAGTAAAAAGAAATTACAAATTATTAAAGAAATTGATCGGTTTAACAACATAATTTTCACAACTTTTTAGAGCTTACTCTCCAACTTGTGTACTTGCCAAACAAACACATTAAAGGATCGAAAACGCTTTCGCCTACTTGCACCATGTCAGCAAATAAGTACAACACAAACATTTACTGTATGAGTAAAGGATACAAATATGCATTTAACACTATTTCCCCATGAAGTAGTAAATCCACAACTGTTAATCTGCTGCTTAGGTCCACTGTGCAAGTTGGAAAGTCTCTTAATGCCTGACTCACTTCGGTGCACTGTCCTTGTCGGGGTAATATTTTCAGGGAGTTGCCTGCCGAACGGCTAACTATCGAAATGAATGCATGAAAAACTACGAAACGGTAATGTGCAGTTGCCATGTGGCAGTGGACCAAGAGCATCGGCAGATGTTGCTGATGGAGCCGCCCCGAGTTGTATGCTATACTTTTTGCACAGCACATTCGATGGCGTTCCTGCGATAGTGTGAGTGGCGTGGCGAGGGCGTGGCACATATCCTTGAATGTTTATTTGTGCTGCCTACTAGCTGCCAGCGGCTTACGCGTTTTCCAATGCTGCTGCAGATGCCGATGTTGCTGTTGCTGTTGCTGTTGCTGTTGCTGCTGCTGTTGCTGTTGCCAGCAGCAACAGTTGCGTGTAGATAGATGGACAGCCATCTGGCAGACCGTAGATATTGCAGCTTGTTTGCGTGCGCACAGGCAACAAAAGCTGCAAAAAAATATATATATGAAACACACCAGGCTTTGCCGATTGGATTTTCAAATTTTTCACCTAACTGGCAGCCAGCCGATTGTATTTCAAGTGCGAATTCATCGTCTCAATTACAGTTATTATTGGTACGAATCCATGGTTTATATGGGCTTCATTTAATGAGTGCATCCAAAAGCCAAGCTGCATAGTTGATGGTGATGAAGAGCACTATGCGTGAAAGTAGAGAGCACTTGTTCCACAAAAATTATAGAGCAAAAGCACAGATATTATTATACTGCACTATAAAGTTGAATATTCACAAGTGTAATTTTATAAAAAAAATTTTTAAATTATCTTTTGAATATAACGTAACCGATACAGTTTTCAAACACAGAAGTATTCAGCTAATTCTCTTACTTTTATGTACAAAATTCAACTATTATTGTGTCTTTGAAATTTGATTAATATAACATGGTTTCAAAATATAGCAGCCTTTCTCTAGGAACTTTGTCTACTAAGATTTAAGTGAAACTAAATATTTCCTCCACTTAAGCAACCAGTTTGCTTTTTTTTTTTTGGCCTAGTCACAAATCAATTCTCTGATTCTCATGTTCGATAAGAAAGAGGAGCATCTCCCTCGACTGAACTAATTCCTTTCACGCTGCGGTCTGAGTTATGGAGCTTAAATTGGGCAGTCCCCAAACACCAGGAACCACAAAATTTGCATCTTTCCCAGGCTCCATCTAGTCTATATCTTTTTCGCTTCTGGAAGTGTGGAGGCATCTACATAAATGTGGCTTTTCATTAAAATCTAAAAGCATAAATCTAAAAAGTGAAACCAACAATGCCCGAGCAGACACAGGCGGACATCTGCGGTGTGCACCACCCCTGCTCCTCGTGAATCCACAGGATCTGTGGGCTGACTGCTTTATGCCTTTCTTCCTTCCTATCTGAATCTGTATCTGTATGTGTATGTGTATATGTATTTGTAACTGTGTGTGTGTGGGCTTGGTGGGGTGTGCGTCACAAAAACTAATTGAATTTTGAAATTCAAGTCGAAATTAAAAAATTACAAACAGCCGGCCGCATTTGGCAATCGCCGGCCGAAATAAACTGTAAAACGGAAATGTATTCGGCAGGTGGAAATTGAAACTGATTGAATTGTAAAGTGAAGCATAAAATGCTTTTGCCTGCGTTGTTTTTGTTTACAGCCTCTGGCACACCCACCATCAACCGCCCACCAACAACCGCCCACCGCCAATCGTCCACCGGTTTTCCCCAGTTGTTTTTCTTTTTGTATAATTTATGGTTTTCGATTTTAATTTGCGCACTTAGGCGCGTATTTTATGGCAGCTTTCTCGTTTGTTTTTTTTTTTTTGCATATTTCGACGCGCCTTCTGTGTTTTGTCACAACAAAATGTGGCAATGATTTAGAACGAGAGTGGATTGTGGAATTTCAAATGCTGATAATTCAGCAGATTTATACTAATAGGCATATTTTAAATATAATTAAACAGAATAACATAAGGAAAATACTTATAAACTTAGTCAGAAGAAGCAAAATTATCATTTCCAAATTAATTTGAATAATTAACATATAACTACTATAGTTATGAAAATGGATAAAAGCTTATAGACTTTAAATACATAAACTTATTTAACTATAAAAATAATTAAATTTTAATTTAAACTCTGTTAATAAGCTTTCTAAATGGATATCTGCCCTCGCTGCAAACTGAAAGACATATGCATTATGATTAGCGGGCGTAATTGAAGTTTAACTGCGCGTGTAATAAAAGCGATTTTTGGCCATTTGCAACGCATTAAAAGCATAAATAATACAAGGCGACGACTGTGTGAAAATAAAGACACGCGATATATTGTGTTCTACGAAGGGCTTCGCCCATTTCGCTAAAGAAATCCAAAAACATTTCTCAAAACAGAAGAAATACGGCACAATTTTTTGATGAGTTGAGGATTTGGGGCACGCGAAATGGGCGCGAGAAAATGTGCGAAATGCGATATTGTACCAAGGCATTATGAACGTGTCGGCATTACCAAAACCTAGACCGACTTATGTATATGCGTTTGTATGGCTGTGGCGGGAAATGTGGATGTGCTGTAGACCGCAAACAAACGACGGCGACTTATTCATTGCGCTTGCCATTAAGGTGGCTCTCGCTGCCATTTGGCCATGCTTTCTCCCACTGCCATTGCCATTGCCATTGCCACTGCCATTGCCTTTGCCCCTCCCACGTCAGGGTGATATATAACACGCTCATAATTGGTCATAAATCTGACAAATGTAATTTGTCATCACTCAAGCAGCTAGCGAACCGGAGCCAGCATCACCCCAATCTTTCTCAGCACCCAAAAAAAAAAGGACATAAAGTTGCTTCCGACTATCAGATACCTGGTGTTTTAGAAACAAGGCATTTGGATGTTTTATACCATACTTACTTTTTTCAAAATTTAATTTTATAATAATAAATCATCGAATTTTTACTGGCTTAACTTTCTTCGCATTTGCAAACACTTAAAAGACTTAAAAATCAAATATGAACCAATTAACCACCACATTAAATTATTAAAAATTAATATTAATTAATTAATATTAAAAGCTGCAAGTAAAGTATTACATTTAATTTACTACCATTAAATACTTATTTTATTTGATTTAATTGAAATTTAAATATTTCAAAACCATACAATAACTTCTTTTACATACAAGTTTATAGCAAGCAGAACTTATCTTTATGAAAAATTAAATAACATTTTATAGCCCTAGGCATATATTCCACACATTAAAAACCTATATTTTCAAGGACTTTAATAAATTATAAATATACCTGCTGGCATTTTTTGCATTCAAAATGTTTAATGCCTATATTCGTCACCTTTGATTGTTTTAATATTTATTATTTTTCCATATATAAAACAGCACCCTGGGAAACCATATATCCTTTGAGCTTCCGGGCATGGGAATTACCCTGTTTCCTTCCCACATTTTTCGTCTTTTGGCCCAGTTGGACGACTTGGTCATGCGACGAGTATACTGAAGTGCCAAAATGAAAAAGGTGCTTGACACAAAATGTCAGCTGGATATTTTTTATTACACAATCACAACATACACACACACACACACACACACAACACACACGCACTCACTTGGACACCTTCGAATATGCCCAGAAGCAGACTATGCTTTTGTTTTAGTTTCCGCTCGACACCCACACACACACACAGACAAACATTATTTTCGGGCACTCCGCATATAAGCCACAAAGTAGTTACTTTTTATGCCCCTGACTCGCACACACTCATAATCGGACTTGGGCCCCGATTGTGATTGTTTTCCCCAACGCTCACTTGAGCTCGTAAATATTTTACAAGTTTGGCCCCGTCCCCACTCTCGGATCTAATTTAAGCTCTTGTAGATGACATACGACTCAGTTTTGGGGCTCCTTGAGTACGAAACCTATCCAGCATCTTCGTTATAAATGACTTTCAAAGGGCCTAAACGTTCTAAATGGAGCAAGTGCGTGTTTCTGGTCAAAACATCGTCATGAACATTAAGTTTAAATGGGCGGCAGCAATCAATAGGCCATGATAATTTATGGCGATTATTTCGCAAAAGTTGAGCAAGTTGTCCGAGAATATGACTTAATATCAAACTTTGATTTTGTAGTTGGGGGCAAATAAACATAATTATAAATTGTTTACAATGTTAATGACTGAATATTGGTTGGGAATTTGAGCGGTTTTAATTTTTTCATAGTTACAACAACGCTCTTACTAAAATGTGAATGTAAAAATTTACTAGCACACTTTTAGGCAGCATAATTTCAGCAAAAAAATATTTTTTTTTTGCCTATTAGAGTTGGTTTTTTTATTATTATTTATTTATTTGCCTCAGTATTTATTTAGCAAGTATCTACGAAAAGTTAATTTTGTGGCCATTTTAAAAGCGTAAGTGGATTTATTTTAATCACAAAATTCTTAAATTAATGTTATTGAGAAATAATTACAAAATAATTAAGACATAATGTTGATCCCCTAATAAAAAAATACTTAATTAAGCTTTCTTTTTTTTATATGACGAAGAGAGGCGAGGGAAAGAATCCATCCGTAGGAAATACTCCATTGGAGGGTCACGTAAATTACCGTCAATATCAAGAGGTAAAAAAACAGGGACATGCGAAACTCATAGCCACTCATTGAGATGTGAAGCAGACTGGTGGTGACGATGAGGAAAAAGAAATAAATGCCAGTCTCCGTTGAAGAGGTAGTAATTACCTGGAGATGGGAGATAATCAGAGTGCCTAAAATAAGAGGGTAATTGAATGCTTACCGAGCAACTGGGGTTGTAGCAATCCTGGTAGTGGAGCGTTGGAAATGCGAAAAAGACCGCATAGGTGACCATGCTCATTACGACTCCGAAGGTGGCATCCCACATCTTTCTCATCTGCAGGCACCTGATGACTATAGCCTCACTGAACGTCTCACCCAATCCAAAGTACATCAGGGCCGTGATATCGGGCGTTAGATCGAACTTGGTGCTAATATACTGCCACGCGAGGTTCTCAATCTCTCGACAGAGAAAGTTCATCGCAAATGAGCTGGCGATCAAGCCCTGAAATGCAAATAGCCAAACATTATCGGGTCGCCTCAAGGAGTGGGTGGAGATGAAGGTCAGGATGCTGAGGGTCCAGCAAACCACGAGCATCATGACCCAGCCTACAGCCTTAACCCCATTGAGAAGGCAAATGAAGGGCAGCACCAATAGACTGAGGCAGCTTATAAATTTAGTCCAGCCCATCAAGTAGCGGTCTTTTGATATAACCGGAATTAAATTAGATATTACAAAATACATAGGCACCTGTAAAATAAATAGTGTTAAATAAAATAAAATATAAGAACACTTATGAAAAAAATGGAATAGTATAAATAAATATCTGACTATTCAACAAAATAAATAAGAACACTTATAAAAAAATGGAATAGTATAAATAAATATCTGACTATTGAAATCAACATTTTATATCAAATTTTAATCGCAATATTTAATGCACATTAAGTCCCATGATTTAAAATTAAAATATTTGAACTAATCTTGAAAATATTAATAGTTTCTATTTGATTTAAATGCATTTTGTTTAAGATAAATAGAGTTTAAATTTAAATTTAGTTTTTAGCTTTTAAAATCAAATCCGAAAATAATTAAAGGAAAAATTTTTAAATATTATAATATTTTCATATTTAAAATAACTTAAAACCGAAATAGATGAAAATCAAAGAAAACATATTTAAATTGAGTACAAAATTCAATAAGTAATTGGATTTACTAGTGTAATGATATAACAACTTTGAATCTATATACCAAAAAAAATCAATTGAGCGAAGGCAAAGATATTGTAATTTATCAAATTTGCTTAAAATAAAAATCCTTTGTTTAAGCAGTTTGTTTGTTTAAAAATGTAGTTGTACCCACCATTACAATCCTATATATTACATGCGAATCGGCCATGTTCCTATATCCATTCACCGTCTTCAACCAGAGCTCACGTTTTGAAAACACTCTTTGCTTCCGGTATTTGCCTAAGATTTCATCGCCGCTATCCATATCCGAAAAGTGGTCTAAACTTGGGTTCTGCTTCGGGGCATTTCGTTGAAATGTAGTGTGCGACACGACCAGGATCACCAATAAGACCATCGCAAAAGTAAAGATGAACACCGTCACCCGGAAGGTAATCAAATACATGTCAGTTTGCTTGTAATCAAGATGGTATGATTTCCTTGTGACGACAACCAAATAGTACATTCCGACCAAAATGAATGTCATGCACGACCAGAGGGTGACTCCTTCAACTCGATATCCTTGCATACAGATGACCATAACTCCCATTACAAAGTATTTCATGATATCTCCCACGATGTTTGAAAACTGCAGAGGACTCATGTTGCCTTTGTGGGAATAACACACTTTGCTGACACTGTTGAAGTGGGGTACAAAAAAAATTGCACCAAAGAACATGTAACTGAATCCAAACATTGTCATGGGTGCAAATTCAATGAGCGTCACTAAATTAGGCACAAAGCTGCAAGAAATCATCATTTAGTAATGAATGAAATAACATGCTTGCATCACCCACAAGTATTTTGTCACCATGAAGAGCAGACTAAAGTGTGCCATCAATAAGAACGCACTTATGAAGCCATAAACTAACATCGAATTCATTTTGAAGATGCAGAAGGAGATCTCTAAGTAGTTTATAAGGTGCACAAACGTTCCACAACTAAACGTACTCCTCGCAAGATCACATGTCTCATTGGCAAGTCGAAACGATTTATGTGAAATCAATGAACACCGGTCCTGCAAAAAATCATCAAGTCAGTGGGATTATTTATTTCACCTCTAGAGTACTTGCCACAGCTGAAAGTTGCACAAACGCCATATCAAACTAATGCTAGTTAATTTTTGATAGATATAATTTATTAGAGCTCGTTTGCTAAGGTTTCTGAGATAGTGCCAAATTTTCTTTATTTATAAAACAGTTAAACTGTATTTTAAAATGCACTTATATTTTTAACAACTTTAGTTTATTGTGATATAGGTGTTCGAAATCCTTTTTAAATTCATTTATTTTTATATCTTTATCCTTTTTATTTAGATTCCTATGTCGAAATTATATATACTTGATATAGAAATAAAGTTTACATAAACTTGCTATCTATTAAGCAAATTTCAACTTTAAAATTTATTTAAAAATATCTAAATATCTAGTATAAAATAGATTAAAATTCAAAGAATAGTTCTCAACCAAACATTTTGTAATTCTGAGTAAAATCTTTAAGGAGAATATAGATGCTACTTACTTTTCCACCAATTTGATAGATTCCAATGGCCTCTCGGCGTCAAGGTGCAAATGCAAATGCACTGCCTTCGAAATGGGTCATCGGTGGGTTCATGAGCGATCGCCGTCGTCATCGTCAACGTGACGAGCCCCAAGTACGCCGCATATCTCTCCACAGTCGTTATGTATCTTTTGTGCCTGCCCAGGCAGCAACAGCTAAAGATTCGAGTTCCTGCCGTAATGAAACTTGATGCAAATTGCCGTCGCATCAACAGCAGGCACCAAACATCGCTTCTCGAGAACATGATATTCTGCTTTTTTGGGCTCCAAGAGAAAATCCGAGAACTTTTCGAGCTCGTCTCAATTAGCGGCAATTGAATTATTACACGGCGGCACTCATTCAATTTTCAGCGATAGGGGAACAGACCCACCAATGTTGACAGGCTTCTTGATGGTCGAGTGCGACATGAGTGTGGATACGACTGGGCAATGGCATAACAAAGTCACTCTACAGAGATTTGGGAAAAGAACTTCGTACTCTCAAAAAGATTTCAAAACTTCGTTTAAATATGAAATTCTTTGTTAGGGACAAATCCAAAATTGATGTGATATGGCATTGCTGAAAGAATGAAACGATCATAAATTAACTTTCCAATTCTTGAATTAATAATTAATAAATTAAATTTAATAAAAATTAAAATTGGAACCTTTAGTTATTCGGTTCCATTAAAGGTTTTGTACTCAATATAAAAATTATTTACTTTGATTTTTAAATGTAAGAGTTGTTAAATCAATAAACTTGTATTTTTAAGTGAATTAATTTTCGTTCCTCAAGCATAATAAACTTTCTTAATTGTTTTCGAAATTCATGACTGACGGATTTATGCTTGATTAGATATTTTACATTTTCTCGTACTTGGATCAACAAAATTCCTACTTAATGTACATAATATTTGAAAACTAAACACTTGATTTACGGATACGCCCTCCTCCCAAATCGTAGGGCATCGTCCCACGCATTTGTCACTTTGCTCGCATAAACACGTCGCAGTTGTGCCGCCTGTCTTCAGTTCGACCGCACCACTCGATCCGTTTAGACCAGCTTAGATTCGTCGCGATCAAGATGAGATCCTGCTACTTGGCACTCTGCCTGCTGCTGATCGCAGCCTCCACATTTCAGCCCGCTGAGGCTCGGGGCGGAAGGGGGCGTGGCGGCGGCTCGTTCGGCGGCCTCTTCGGCGGTTGGCGCAAGTACAAGAAGCCCTCGTCGTCGGGCGGTGGGCGGCGTGTGGTGAGCGGATCGCCGGTACACACGGCCATGACGATGCCGAAACCGCCACCGCCGCCCCCCGCACCGCCCAAGCCGATGACGCCATCAAAGCAGCAGATCGCCAGCTATCCGCGCCAGCAGATGCCAGCTGGCTACGGCTACGGATCGTATCCTGGCCAAGGAAGCGGGACGTACTACGCCAACGCACAGGCTCTGCCCGCCGGAGCGGTGTTCTACGCCCAGCCACCTGTGGGAATGAACAGAGGACTGGGTGAGTATCAGGGGCCAATTGAAAACAATAAGACTATTGTACTTACTTAGAAGCTCCACCCTAAAAAAAACAAATTTTTAACAATATACTAAGTTTGACCAAATTTTTCAAAGTGCTTGGAATATGATAAATATTTCGGTCTAAAAAATATTTAAATGTCTGTCCGTTTCTCCGATTTTAATACTCTATAATACCATGCATATATCAAAGAATTTTCAAATCCATTGAATAACAGCGAAGTTAAAACAATTATGAAATCGTCGTCCCATTGATAAAGTAACGAAGAATATGGTTTTAATTTGTTTTCATCCTCTTAATTTTATCATTGCGATTGTTTCAATTTTAATAAAATTAATTTTAAAATATTAAACCATTATTGTACTGTTAAAAAATGAAATTAAAATGTTTGTTTCCGTCTCGTTGGGACTGATACACTACCTGTAAAATAATTAAAATTTTTGGAAAGTTAAGAGAAACGTTTTAGTTGTTTCGAATACAACATACTGCCGTCACAAGAAAAGACTAAATCAATTCATGTGAATATAAGATTATCACCTGTTAAAAACAAAAACGGCAAGCTAACAGATGAACATCGTTACGATATTTTACCTTTGCTCTTATTTTTTTATCCTTGCAGGCACGGGAGATTTTCTCACCGGAATGCTGGCGGGTCACATGATGAACAACATGCTGTTTGGTCACCGCCACCATGTGTACCACAGAAATCCGGAGGTTGGGCAGTCGCCTGAGGGAAATGGTCGCCAGATCATCATCGTCAACAACGGTCAGCAGCAGGGAGTTTTGCAGAACGAAACCACTATTTCTGGGGAAGCCTCCGCTGTGGTGCCCCCCGAAAATCCACTGACAGAGGAGCAGGATGAGGAGGAGGAGGAGGGGGAGGGGGAGGGGGAAAGTGAACACGTTTCTAGCGAGGAATCCACAGAATTTGAGGCAACTCCACAACCATATCCAGACGGTGGCATCGTTTGCTTCCCCATCACACTAAACGAAACAGATCCCGAGAACGCAGACCAGATGCGAGAAGTGGAGCGCGTGGTTTGCTTTCCAGCACCGCCCAACAATCCGGTAAATTTGCAACCCACCATTACCACTGAGCCACCCATTGTTGCAGGCGATATTGTGGGTGGTGCAGAGGATGGCTCGCAAGGTGGTGGAGGTGACGAGGCTACCAATGCCAATGCCAATGTGGGTGCCCCAATCGAGGTGGCCAACTTTGTGGCATCAAGAGCCGCCCAAGTCGAAATGGACTCCTCTTGATTACTCCTAAGTTATAAACTAAGTAAAATAAAGTTAAATAAACATAATAACTTATTTCTAACTACGATTTTTTATCTGGTAAAATAATATTATGGCTTGCATGTGTGTTTAAAACTGACTGGCAAACAAATTGAGAAGGCGACATTTTTAAAAGCAAGAAAGATTATTAAACTTACGAATATATTCAATTTGATATTATAAATTAAAATACCATAATGAAAACCCGCTTTGTGATAATTAGTAACATAGCCACGACAAGATTTCAGATGATTGTCCTTAAATATTCTCTAGTTCGAAATAATTTAAAAATTTGTTAGTAAGCTCACTCTATATTCTCAAGTTCAAATTATTAAATGTTTCTGTGTTAGTAAGCCCACTTAATACGTCTAAGTGCCCTATGAAAATGATTTACATGCCCTCAGTAGCTTTTAACCAAATTAAAAAATATATTGTTTGAGCCATAAGCACGCAAAAGTGACGCGAAACAGGAGAAACCAATAATAGAACTTACGTCAGAGGCTCCCTAGTGCGTCCTTCGAGTGTTAACCTTTTGCCCAGGTGTTAAAACAGGTAACAACACACTGTAAAGAATGTCATCGTTTAGTATGTTTACACTTTGCATATTTATTTTTATGTAAATATTTTATTTATTCCACTAATGTTTATCGATACATACAACGCAAGTTTTAAAATAAATTTTTATAGTTATGAAATAATAAGAAAACTATAGGTGAATAAAAAGTAAAGTAAAGTAAAACGACTATTCTCTTACTTCTACCGGACGGCAGGTGGCGCCTGCATTTGTTTGTCATAGTCATAGTTTTGTACAAAATTTCTGTCAATAATAATAATATAATATAATATAATAGAATAACTGATTTCTTTTTTTCATGACACTTGATTTGTAATTAGAATAATAACAATTATAATAAAAGAACTATTGGCGAACCTTAAGCACAATAACAACAACAATAATATTAAAGACAATCTTTACAACTTTTAATAAACAGACTAATACTGCGACGCTGTCGTAAGCTGTGACGATGACTTTGGCGTTGAAGGCAATCCAAATCAACAACAAAAACTACAAACGAGTGCTGCGACTACGATTATACCCACTACTCAGCTAACTTTCTTAATCTACGGCATTAAGGTATCAAAACCTAATTTTTTATTTGCGTATGTATTTTCTTTTTTATTAACGAGTTTGATTGACTTAGCTGTTAGACTGTTTAACAGTTAGACTCAGATATATGTACATACCCCTGTTGCATTTGTTTTAGTAAAAACAATATTCCCAATTTCCACACGGATAATGGGTATAATCGGGAACAAATACAAAGCAGCGACACGAGTTGAAAAACCCAAACAAAACTCACTTGTGGGTGTGAGTGTGCGATGATCCAACAACCAGAGCAATGAAGCTCACTTGGCGCTCATTAAATTCCCCAGCACCTACAACAAAAAGCGCCACAGAAGCAACAACAATAAAAGTCGGACAATAAAGTGAACGAAAAGAGAATATGACAGACAATTTTGTCATTCATAAGTTTTGTTGAAATCATTCACAAATGTTTAGTTCATTTTGGAAACAAATTAAAAAATGTATTTATTTGAAAACTACATTTTTTAGATTTTAATCATTTTCATCACTCATAATGTATATTTAAATAATCAGTTGTTTTTTTTTTTTTTGGATTAACTGTAATTTTTTTATATTATCCCAAATCATACGGATAACTTTCAAACGGTTGCTAACTAGAATTCTTTGATTTGCTTATTACTTGTTTATTTATCTGTTTCACCTTTTGCTAGTTCTAAATGTATTTAAACAGTCGTAATGCCAAACAGCAGAAAGATAAACGGTAAAGAGCGGCACCAGAAATTCCCTCCGGAGAGAAGCACAAAAAATGACAAATTAAATAAAAACATTCATACTGAAGCGCCCAAGAGATAATAAAGCAACGTCAGAAATATGAAATATAAAGAGAAACCGTTAGAAAGCAATAGTCGACTGCAGAGAAAAAAAATTACCTAAATTGTAGTTAAATCGATAGTTTTTGGTTTTTTTTTTTAATTTTTGTTTTAGAAATAGGACAAAATAAAACCATTAATGTGTTAAATGTTAATACGAACATAGTTTTTCGAACATATTAAACTTTTATAGAGTTATATATCAAAAGTAATAAATATAGTTTGGTACTTTATCAACTTTTTTCAGTGTACTGACCACTGTGACAAGGCAACATGTTGGTCTCGCTCTCGCGGTCGCTGTTCTGCTGCTCCTCTGCTCTGCTGCTGCTGCTGCTCGCCGCATTCCGCTCCAGAGGAAAACGCAAAACACACAACGCGAGCGATTTTTTAGCTCAGTTCAGTTGTTCGAGAAACTTTGCACGAAACAAAAGCGAAAATCGCACGCGGCAGAAACAGCAAGCGGAATACACAGTTAAAACCAAAGTAAATATCATATAAATTAAGGTTTATTTGCATTTGAAGACGAGGGTGTTTTGAGTTTTATTGTTTTGAGTTAGCAAAATAATTTGTTTAACATTTAAGTAAGGTTTTAGTAAGGTTTTAACAGCAAGTTTGTTAATTTAAATACTAATTGCAGTGCTCAACTGCTCAACGCTTTTATTGCTTTCTTGTGTTTTTCTTTTTTGCAAATGCTTGCCCGAATTGAAGGTCACTTCAAAACAAAAAGGAAACAACACAAACCAGACCATATTAAAAGTATATTCCCCATCAAAATCAATTTGAGGTTCTATACTCGCCTTTTCTAATGCGTTTTTTAATTGTTTCTTAAATGTGTATGTCAGCAAATGTGTGTATCTCTCAAATATCCAAACATAATTCATTTTCTGCACCCCACAGGTTGGTTTAAAATTAGAAAATCTAACTTTGTTATGACGCCGATTGTTTGCATTATTCTAGGAAAAGGTATACATATTAACATATCAGAAATTTATGCATAGATGCATTGAAGTGTGACACAAAAAAATGAAATATAGATTTAGCAGTAAATCAACAAATGAGTCACTAAGCCAAGCTTAGTAATGACAAATGAAAAATATTTGTAGAAAATTTATAAAGTATTTATACAACTTTATTAAGGGATATGGAATATATAGTAACTTGTGTGTAAGGTAATCAGTATTAGATCATCTAAAATACTCTGTGGAAACAGCTGCCACATCTCATTAGATCTATGGGCAAACAAAATTTTATAATTTAGTTTTGAGACCAGCTGAAAAAATAGCCAATAATAACTATTTGTGCCAAAACGGTTTTCAAGAGTCACCCACTCAAAAACACACATAACTAACCGGCTTTTGACGCCCAATTAACTTTTATTTTTATGTCTTCTGTCTTCCATATATTATGTAAGTCTTGGCCAAACAAAGCTCCCTCCAAGGCTTAAGAAAAATGTGATTCATTTATTATTGAAATTGAGCCTTGCTTATCTATAAGCATTTTGACATCTGACTTTAACACTGCGATAAGCATTTGAATTCTAGACCGTCTCTTAATGATTATGATGCTCCCATTGGACACTCGTGTAGTTCATAGAAATCCAAAGACAATGGGTAAACAAACATGAGGTTAACAGTTTCGTGTTAAAGTATTTCCCCATTGACGTCATAGCTGCGCATGCGTTGCAGTTCAGCGGCTCTATGAGTCAGCAAACAAGTTTATCACGCTTTCAGCATCGCTCGTAGTTTGCAGCAAGTGCATGTGTCGGTCCTAAACAAAAATCTGCCCACAACTGCAATTAGATCTCTCTGTTTATATAAAACAATTAAATCTATTGTTGGTTTTCGCGGAATCCACTGAATTGATTCGTAAGAATTGCGTTCTTGATTAAACCAAATACATTTAATTTATGCCGGTTTTTATAGTCTTTATTTAAAAGTTACAACACTTTGATTAACTCAGCTTTTCTGCTTTTTCCTTCCAAAGTTTGCTAATGTGAAAAACGGATTATTTCAATTTCAACTTGCAAAGTTAAATTAAATGAATAACATTTGTATCCAAATATAATACAATTTTAATTATATATACTTAATACTTATTCACTGTTTTTAACAACAAAAGTACTTTATTATTTTTAAAAAGTGGGTCTTAAATTGAAAGATATATGTGACTTACAACTTTTTAAACAAAATATGGATTCTTACTTAATTAATTTAATATTATATTTTTATATTTTATATTATATTCTTATATTTTCGTTCAAGAAAAAAAATTAATAAAAGATATATATATATTATTTATATAATAACACTATAGTTTAATGAAACCAACCGGCATCTTTTAATTTGCAAGTAAATTTCTGTTCCAGTTTACTTTTCCTTCTGATGTAATGAAGAGAACATCCGTTAGCCTTGTAACCCCAAGACTTGACCTCCGAATTTGTGTGTTTATAGTTGTGGAACTTAGCCTGGGTGTGTTTGGCCAAAGTCAATGGAGTGTAGCCACGCGACAAGCCGTCCAAATCAGCAAGTTAATTATCATTAGGCGGTCGCTCAAGACACGCATTACGCGCTTCTAATTTGGGCAAATAAAAGGGAGGCAGGCCGTTCTGAGCCTCCTGTAAATTTGGCAATCAGGGCGTGACACCGACACATTGTTCATTAGTTGAAGTGGATCGGGAAAATTCCAAAACTGCAGATGAAGTTAGCAAATTTAATAATAGCTTTCAAAATGTTGGCAATCTAGTAAAGCTGGCGGGGAACTAATTCTCAGTTGACTAACTATAATTTTGGTTTATTATTAGCGTAAATTGAATCAATTGTTTTTTCACACAAAACATAAAAATATAACCATGTTGGCTGATGATGACTGACAATGGGGAATGAATTGTGGGGTGCAGTAGGGATATACATTAAAAATAAAACTTAAACGATGGCTGGAGTAGTCGAATCTGTTATACCCTATATTACTATTAAGGCTTTTTAAAATTGTGCATTAAACGAATATCACCATAAAAAGATCTATAACAGATATTAGAGATCACGTTAGTTGAGGCTCGTTTCTAATCGAGGCCTAAGATACAAAGTTTTTAAGGTTAAATATTTTTTTTTAATAGCAAGCGGATGGTTCTGTCCGACCTTAAATATCCGAAATACTTAATTAGGTTTGAAAATATTTTTATTTGGACTTCTTTTTTAGTCTATATATTATATATATAACTTGACAGCAAATTCGTTATCATGATTTACATATAAATCTATAAAAATCAGAATTGAAATCACTGTGAGTAACTGAACATTGTTCCCATTTCAGAATGTTCCTTTACCCGCGGCGGCTAAGTGGCAGCCTGTTGGTGGTGGTGCTTCTCGTATTGGCGCTAACCACCGATGATGTGCATGCCAAGTGGAAGTCCAGTGGCAGCAGGAGTTCCACTTCGAGCAGAGGTTCCAGTTCGGGCAGACGGACCTCTTATCCAGCTCCTTCTTATCACCCAGCTCCAGCCCACCATGCGGCTCCCTCGTATCATGCACCACCCGCTTACCACGCACCACCGGCGCACCACCCAGCTCCGTCGCACCACGCCAATGCGGACAACGTGAAGCTGAGCTACGGCGGTGGAACCCAATCGCAGCCCAGCAGGGTGGCCAGTTCCCAGACGCACAGTGCAGCCCCCTCCGCCCCTGCCGCGCCCATCGGCTGGAATGTGCCGGCCAAGCCGCAAGGACCACCGCCAGCGTACTCCGCCTCGAATCCCGTGGGCGGAGCTCATACCAACATAAACGAGCGTCCGCCGGCCTACAATCCGTCGTACAAGCCGGCACCGCCCAGCTATACGGCTGCCACCCAGACGCACAACACGAATCTGCAGAGCCAACCTCGTCCAGCTGGAGCAGCTAGTCCCAGCTCGAGTCCGGGTGGCTACTATGGAGGAGCACACTCCAGCACTGCTTATCGTGGTCGCAGCAACTCCACCGGTGGCTATGGCTCATCGGGTGGCTACCAACCCATCACGGCCACCAATGCCCACAATGTGCAGTCGAGCTATCCGCGTCAGCAGTTGCCAGCCGGAGCCACCTATCATCCGGCGGGACAGATTCCAGCCGGGGCCACTTACCACCCGGCGGGTCAGATTCCGGCTGGTGCCAGCTATCATCCCGCGGGCGGATATCCAGCCGGAGCCTCGTACCACCCGGCTGGCCAGGTGCCCCACGGAGCCACCTACTATCCGCAGGGTCAGATTCCGGCCGGAGCCACTTATCACCCAGCCGGGGGCTATCCGCACGGAGCCAGCTACTATCCACAAGGACCACCAGTGGCCGCAGGAGTGCCGCCAGGCGCCACCTTCCTGCCCGCCGGAGGAGCCCTGCCCGCCGGAGCTGTTTTCTATCCCCAGGCGCCGCAAAAGTCCTCCTCGGGCTTGGGATTGGGTGAGTTTAAAAACATAATCTCAACTGCTTAAGGAAGCAGTTTTAAGCCAGCATATTGAAAATTACATTATTAATTAGATATACAATTTACATTTTCAATCGTTTTTAATAGAATTAGAATTTTCCTTAGTTTTTCTATGCACGTTATATGGAATGGTTTTCTAACATAGACAAAATTAAAAAAAATTCTAAAATACCAAATCAACCTTCATAAAGTGCACTATAAAAAAAAACCTAAAAATCATTGATTAGTTCGTGTAAAAAAGAGTCTAAATTTTGTAATCTTTTTGTAGGAAACAGTTAAAATATATCTCGTAAATAATCAAAATTAAATTAAAACTTTTTAAGCTTCGATTTACTGCGACTTTAAAAACGTGAGTTGTAGGAAAAACACTTCAATGTTTTGAAGGCTGGTGTATACTTATACTTATTAAATGGTATAGGTATATATAATAATATGCGGCCTTCATCAAATTTGCTCCCTTTCACTTAAAATTTATTAAATAAAAAGTTTTAAAGCTCAACTTCCCCTTAAAAAAGCCAAGCAGCTACACAATTAAAACGGATTTTTCAGTCTAAGATAAAGGATGCAAACATTTAATAGCTTTGCTAACTTGGTCTCTTTATTTTCCACAGGCACTGGTCTCATTGCTGGAGCCTTGGGTGGAGCCATCCTGGGTCACGCCCTTACTCCCACCCAGACACGTGTGGTGGATCACTCCTACTCTGGCGGTGGTGGTGGTGGAGGCGGTGGCTACAACCAGGGTGGCGACGACAAGATCATCATTATCAACAACGGACCACCCGGATCGGTGACCACCAGTGATGTGGGATCTGGCACTACGGTGATAAACACTGGCGGAAGCCAAGCAGCGGCTGCTCCTTCGCTGCCAGTGCCACCTGTATATGCATCTCCTCCGGCTCCTGGCCCGCAATCTCCTCCTGTTCCACCAGCACCTGGAGCTGTTCCATTGGCACCTTTGGGTCCTGTTCCGGAAACTCCAGTTGCTGCCGGAATTCCACTAGCTGCCGGAACTCCAGTTGCTGCCGGAACTCCAGTTGCACCCGGAACTCCAGTTGCTGCCGGAACTCCAGTTGCTGCCGGAACTCCAGTTGCTCCCGGAACTCCTGCTGCTCCGGCGGATCCCAATGCCCCAATTCCTCCTGCACCTGGCGCCGCCGCTGACCCCAATGCCCCACCAGCTGGACAGATTATCTGTGTGCCCGTGAAAGTGCCACAACCTGATCCCAACGATCCCACCAAGACGATAGAGGTGGACCAGGTGGCCTGCTATCCAGCCCCACCGCCGGAAACTGCTACTCCGGCCAATGGAACCGCACCAGCCGTCGAGGGAGCTGTGCCCGCTCCCGTCTCTGCCCCAGGATCAGTTCAACTGGCTCCCTTCCAAGTCACCACACCCGTGACCGTTCCCGAGGGTTCGGTGCCCTTGGCTCCTCTGATCCCCGGCGGTCAGCCTGACATAATGAAGATGCCGGGTCTCACCTCGGCTCGACTGTCGGCGGAGTCGGGCCTGAAGGATGCACACAGTGTGGCCGGACGATCCTTTGGACACTTTAGCCTCATCTCCACTCTGGCGACCCTGATCGTGGCCTACTGTCTCCACTGAGCACTGAGCACTGAGCCCTTAGCACTGAGCATGGGTGCTCATCCCCACACCACCACCCTTTCCTCAAGCAAGGACGAAGTGTCATCGGCAACCGGAAAGCTTTAACTTATTTATTGTCATTCTGTGGGACACGAGATTCAATTGGATTTATAAGACCAGCCCCGATCAGACGGTTCTCTTTATATATTTTGTAAAAAAAAAAATCGAATTTTTGATATATACTCGTAGTTCTGTTAGATTTCAAACTAAGCCAACAATAAATGTACCAAACCATTAAAACACAGTCATTGGTGTTAATTTTTGGAAGTATACGCTATACATTGCAGTGCCCAAGTTGTTGAACATGAAAAATTTTCTTGTTTTAAAATTGTATTAAGTCCATACCTAAAACCTCAATTCTGCAACACTGTGCGAAATCGGGTGGTAAAATTGGTAGTTAATTGAAAAAAAACCTAGTTTTTAAAATGTATTATTTTCCGGTGTATTATTCCTGCAATGAAGTTCTTTTAAATGTTGGCATTAAATAGCTCAATATATATTAAAAAGTTAACTTTCGCGAATTACATATTTTTCTATTATTTGAAACGTTTTAATTGTACAAATTTGACCAATCAAAAATTGTGTGTCAAGGTTGTTATTTTTGAATAAAAAAGTAAGGATAAATACCAATAAATTACATATGCACTTTTCAACACTTAAAAAAGATAAAAGACCAGAGTTTCTGTCAGACTACAAAAAAACAACTCTGACAATTCTGACATTTCAATTAAGTTGTCAACCGATTAAAGCAGAAAAACCATTGAAAAATATCTTCCTAAACATGGACAAAAAACCGAATTACAAGGTGACCGAACGCGACTTGGACATCCGGTCGGATCTGGAGTTTGTGGACAGCCTGGTAAAGGATCTTCGTTTGGAGGTGGAACCACAAGCTCGTGGCGTGATTCTAGATTTGGCTTACAGTGAGTTGAAACTATACTTAACTTTTGTTAAAAAAAAGAACACTTTTTGAGTGACTGGTTTAGCTTTGGCCAGGGACAAACTGGTGGAGGCGCAACGCTTCGCCAAGCTGGCCAATCGCTCCAACGTGAGTGTCGAGGATCTGGAGATGGCGGACCTGGAGCGCACCGACGAGCTGATGAGGCGACCCCGCCAGCAGTCGCTGAAGAACCTGCTTCCCGCCCAAGCATCCCTGCCCTCGCCCAGTCTGACCCGTGGCCTAATGCTGCCCACCTTGCGCCACTGTCAAGTGGGCATGACCGCCGAGCTGAAAGGCAAGGGCACTGAGCCCCAACCACAACCACAACCACAACCCCAAGCTCAACCACAAGTCCAAGCCCAACCACAAGTCCAAGTTCAACCACAAGTCCAAGTCCAACCGAACCCGAGGATTGGGCTGACCCCTAATCCTGTGGCACCTGCTGCCGCAGTTTTGGTCATGGCACCTGCGGGTCGTATGGCTGCACGTTCCCAATCTCGTCCGAGTCGTCCTTTTTCGACTCTTCCAATCATAAGTTCCACCTCGGCAGTGGTGACCTCTACTCCTGGAGCTCGACCCAGTGGCAATCCGGCAGGCGTGGCTTCCTTAACTCCGATGGCTGCCAGCAGAAGACCTATGACGCCATTTAAGCCAAGTTCTTCGGCGATTAACGCACCTGGACCTTCAGGAGCAAATCCACCAAACAAAAAACCACGCATGCTAAATTAAAATCGATATAAAGGAGGACGCAGAACACTTAATATACTTTGATTAGATGGACGGCCTAAAATAGCGAAAAATATATCGACTTAATATTAAGACAGTCCATTGACTATTAAATACTTAACACTAAGTGTTAAGTCTTGGAAAAAAAAACAAAATATACGGATTTTGATCGGATCATATGTTTTAATTGTTCAAATTGTGTTTTATATTGATGTTATTAACCTTTAAAAGTGTGGTTCTAATTACTGATGGTGCCAACAAATTTTGTGATTACCTGCTGATTTATGTTCGAATTTTCAAAAGTATCGGTTCATTAGATTTTGAGTTCCGATGTTCACGGAAAAAAAAGTTTAAAATATTTTTTCAGAACTAAATTTATTAAAATCGAACAACGATATCAGTCAGCCGAAAATGATGATTTAGTTTTTGCCGATGCTTGATGTTTCCTTTCTTTTCTTAACAAGTTTTGAAATAATTGTTGATTTGGAAATCTTGATGTGTCATTAGATATATTTCTCTATGGGGCTCAAGAGTGCGCATGGCCAAATTATAAAATAAACTGCGTTTGAGTATGCGTAACTAGAATCTCCCAAATGCTGAGATATCGTCTTTCATACGGACATGGTTACTGTAACATACTTTATAATATAATATACCCCTTTACGTGTAGCGGGTAAACAAATATTGTTAGCATAGATAAGAGAATATCAAATATCTTAGTGGCTGCGTCGTAGTAGGCTCTAATGTTGCTGCGGTTATGCGCAATCAATTTATGAAATGAATAAAGTAATGTGTTTATTAACTTGGCTTATTCGTATTGCCAGCATATCTCTACACATAAGTGGGACTGAAAAATTTGATTTGCCATGAAAAAATTTAATGACTACACCCAATAACAACAACAATTAACGTCCTGTTAATTTTTAGGTTTTAATATAAAATGTTCTATTCTTCATCGGATTTATTTTTATACCTCTACCTCGTATTATGAATTCGTCTGTAATGCATAAGCAGAGGATACTTTAATATAACGTATTCAAGAATTCTTGAAGTTCATAGGATAAATATAGTAGGTATAGTATACAGTATACAAATATTTGTTGAATCGTCTTGCGTGGCACCTACAACAGATACACAACATTCTTTGCTTCAAACGAGGGTTGTTTTCGGTGGGCTTTCGCGGGATATCCTTTCTCAGTCGATTGTGAGCTCGCAGCGGAGCAACAACAATTCATTGAATTGTCACTTACCTCCTACAGCGGCTATTAAGGTAAGCATAAACCCTTAAAAAGGTATTCTACAAGAATTACAAATTTATGGTTACATTTTATATACTTATTTATAATTTAATTACGAAAGTTCTAGTAGAGACCAATTATATGATATCTTATTCGGTACATATTTATCATACATATTTTAAGTTATCAATAAATGAAAATCAAACATTACCAGTGACGTCATTGCAAGCAGTCAGATTTGCCTTCTTGTTTGTTTTGCACAACAGGTGGCGCTTTCGACTTAATGGTTTGAAAGGAATATGTGTTTTGAAAATTGTTTATAGTCGTGGCAATATAGTGACTTCTTTGACCTTACATCCCATCTTCAAGTGAACTCATTTTTTCTGAGCAATGTACTTAATTTTCAATCCAATTTCCCATATAATCTTTATATATAGTTATATTTAATGAGAACATTGTAAGTAATTGGTTGTTGGTCTTATTTCAGAATGTCCTCTTACCAGCGGCAGCCTAATGGCATCCTGACGGTGATGGTTATCCTTTTGGCCATAGCCACACATTCCATGGCGAAGTCCGGTAGCAGCAGCCGAAGTAGCAGTAGCTCCAAATCCAGTTCCAGTTCAGGATCCAGTTCGTCATCCAGCAGCTTTTCATTGCCATCATATTCAAGTTTCTCGCACTACAATTCGCCACCTTCGTACAGTTCCAGTTCAGGATCCAGTTCGTCTTCCAGCAGCTTTTCATTGCCATCATACTCAAGTTCCTCGCGATACAATTCGCCCCCTTCGTACAGTTTCAGCTTCGGGGGCGGAAACAGTGCGCCCAAAGGACCTCCGCCGGCTTACTCCGTTTCGAATCCTGTGGGCGGAGCTCACACCAACATTCACGAGAGTCCGCCGGCCTACAGTGCCGCTTACAAGCCAGTGGGTCCGCCGGCCTACAGTTCGGTAGACAAACCAGATAAGATACAGTCCCGTCCAGCGGAAAAGGCAAGGCCCAGTTATTCCACCTACTACAACGGCGGATCCCGCTCCAGCACTGGTTACAACGACCCCTATAACTACACGTATAAATACTCCTCCAATGCAGCCACCCAAGCACAGTATCTCTCCCACGGACCCTTCGCCCAAATATCCACCCTTCTATATTTGTGCTGGCAATTATTATAAACGTACAAATTGTTAAGAACAATTCAACACCAAAAACAATAAAATGTTGTCTGTTGTTGTAAGCCCTCAAGCCGTGTTGTTATTAACCAAATAAATATTTCTTAGACTTGTTAACCTATTTAAGTTCCAATTTAATTCCGAATAATTAAAATAATATTTTTTTATGTATCTTTTTCTATTTCCGAAATACTAATTTTTTTTTTCATTTTATATAAAATTTGTGTTTTTTGGTTTTCTGCCATACACTGATACTTTAAAAATGCCAACTGAAAACCAAAAACTGTGCACAAGTTCAAATGTTATCAGTTCCATCTTCATCCGCCATTGTAGCAATCTCAAAATATTTGAAATACTCTTGTAGTAACGTCTGGCTAGACTTCTTGATTAATAAATCAGAAAAAAAAACGTATACCGAAATTGTGTTTTTATTTTTCTTCGAAGTATGATTATACTGTTTGTTCTTCTTTTTCAAACTTATGCTCAAATTAATTCAATTATTAAAAAAAAAAGTTTACCCAATAACGCGGTTTTTTTTCCGAGTGTATCGATTCTTATTGTCATAAGTTTTTTAGTTTCTTGCTCTTAAATTCGTATGTAAAAAGTATTGTTGTTGACAAAAAACAAACTACATCATACAACAACATGGAAATGTAGGATGGATTTAGTTCAGTGTACTGACCAATTCGCTTTGATTTGAGTTTCGCTGCCGCGATCGCTGCCCGACTCTTCCACCCAAAAAACTAAAAGACGAGCGGATTTTTGAACACCATTTTAGTTGTTCGAGATACTTTAACAAAACACTCCCGAAATCCGGGTGACAGCAGCAGCAAGCGGAACAAACAAAAAGTAAGTTAATCATAAAGTTATAAATTAATTAAATTGTTAGCTTTAGGACAAAAATGACATTTTTTTTTTAATGCATAATATAATATAATAATAATAATTTACTCGAATTTACTCCGATTAACTTAAACATAATATGAACCCATTTCAGAATGTCCTTAAGCCTGAGAGTGCCTAGTGGAAGCCTAATGGTGGTAATGCTTCTAATGCTGGCCCTAATCATCGAAGATGTGCATGCCAATCGACGTTTTGGACATCGTTTTAAAAATTACGGATGTACTGGAAATGGCAGGAGAACCACTAGGCCCTCTTACATAACGCGCAAAATGCCCTATATACCTGTTCTGGCGCGGCGTGGGGATAAAACTATGGCGACATCGCCGCCCTACCATCCGCTTTACATGCCAGAGCAGAGACGATCCCGTCCAGTATATGAAGCCAGACCTAGCTATACCCCCATAAACTGGAACCGCAATAAGAACGCCGAAGATTACTAGTTCAATACCGCCACCAAAGCCTCCTTTTCCTTATTGTGCTTTATGCTTTTGTTCAATTAAAACATTTTTTGTTTGAAAATTGTAATTAAACTTGATTAAAATATCAATATATAAACCTACGAATTTTCAGTTTACTTAGCAAACAACGTTTTTTATACCTGCTAAACCTTTTGAAATTATTTAGGTTAATTGCCTTCTTAAAAATCTTAAATTTATATATTAATCGTTCTGTTATATTAAGAGTATTACACAGAAAAAAAAAGATATTCCAGTTATCGTTTCGCCAAACATCTGATTTTCGTATTCTTAGCTGTACCACAGAACTCAAACAATAAAAACTGATATACTAATAGGACGTAATATATGGTTTTGAATATAAAAAAGTTATAAATTTCAACTATTTAAATATTTCTAATTTGTTTCGGTCTCGCGAAAAAAAGTCTTTATACAATTAAAAAAATTTGCACTCAAAAATCAATTAAAAAAATTAAAATTGTGTTTATGACTCTAAAATGTGTTTTGATCACTAAACGTGGTGTTTATCATATAATTTAAATTAATTGGACTGATCACACATTACTATGAAATTGATTGTAAGAAAACATTCTGACTCATAGTGTTTATTCAAAAATGTTTTAATGTAATCAGTAATACCAAAGACTGTGCGGGAAGTCAAACGTTATCAATTCTACATTTTTTGGAATGCGTCACTTGCGGGCCCCAAAATATTTCTAAGAACTCTCATCTTCTTATACCCTTCCAGAGTGTATTGTATGTTGATGTTTGCTTACATTCTTGTTTTATTTTATAATTCAGGCCTTTCTCTCGACTCATTGGTCCTCTCTGTTGTAATAAAGTATGACTAGACTTCTAGCTAGAGTGATAGCCTGATTCCATTGGCGCATTCAAACGCATTTGGCCTAATGCGCATTTATTTACACAGGGAATCCTATAAGGCTAAATGCCGCATTTAAAATAAATGCGATAAATAAATGCGATTAAAAATCATTCGCCCCGAACATTTTTAGACTAAATACCGCAAAATATGGATTTTTAACGATATTTTGTTAGCGCCACCACTATAGCAGTTGGGGTTTTATGCAAGGATGGCGCAATTTTTGATTCTTCTGAATATAAAATCTATTTTGCGTAAAAATTACCGAAATGAATAGCATGCGCATCAAATCCTGCTCGCTTCCCTTCCTTGTCGTCCAAGTTGGTAAATGCATCGGTTGCAATTTGGATGTCCTGTTGGGGATTAAAGATATCCGTAAACTCGCTCATATTCATAATTTTTAGATCATTTCGTTTTAATTTGCGACAATTCAAAAGTAAACAAACAAAGATCAGCCGTTCGTGACACTCACATGTCGGAATAGCATTAGCTAAATGCTAATGCGCCAATAGAAGGCGGCACACTAAAGTCGAATTTGAGATTAAAATATGAAACTTTAAGACGGATTTGATCAGTATGCTCAAAGAGCTACGTTTCAGCAGACGCTGCTTCAGAAAAAAAATCCAAAAGGCGAGCGATTTAGGTCCTCAATTTAGCTGTTCCAGAAACATTACCAAAACACAGCCGCAGTAACCGGACTACACTAGAATAAAAGTGAGTATTAATTATACATATATATAATTTTTATTACATATAAAGCAGACATTCAAAAATTCAACTTAAATTAATCGTTATTTGAAGTTGTGTGATCTAAGCTTTAATAGATTATTAAAAACATTTTCCACATCATTAAGTCTTAAAATAGTAGTATAAGTTTATACGGTCAATAGGTTGTTGTTTTTATGTTTCTTAATTAAACAAAAGTGTGTTATTTTGAAAATGACTTTTAGCCATCAATAAGATTTTAAAAACAATGTTTTACTAAATAGTTGCTGATATAATTTATTGCCTATAGAAACGGGGTTTAGAAAAAAAAAAGACAATTATAATCGTTTGCAATATCCGTCCATCTAGAGAACTGAAAACCGTTCCTATCACGATTTTTTTTAAAGTCTATTATTCGGCATGTTGATAACCTTTTGAACATAAATAAAGTGCTGCTACAGGGTGTTGAAGAATATACTAGGCAGTCCAGTTTCAATAATATTTTGGGGCATTCGGACGATCTTATAAAAATGGTAGCATTTTCATATTTCCGATTTCCCCAGACGTCTTCAGAGAAGCAAATAATATTATTGACTGTATTTTTGTATTTTATATGAAAGTTTTGCTAAGAAAAAAAAAACTATAACTCATTTTAGCATGTCCTTTTACCTGATGAGGCCCAGCTTAAGGCTGATGGTGGTGATGCTCCTAGTGTTGGCCCTAATCACCGATGATGTGCATGCTAAGGGAAGATCCAAAAGCAGGAAAGGCAAGGGTGGCGGTCTTTTCAATTTCGGCAGCTGGTTCAAAAGCCCCTCCAAATCGGCGCATTCGCAGAGCGGAGCTCACACCAACCATCACGAGAGTCACCCAGACTACAGTTCGGACCGATCCGGATCTAGTCATTCCTCCTACTACTACAGCGGATCCCACTCCAGAAGTAGTTACCGAAACCGCAATAACAACACGGATGAATACCAGTTCAATTCCGCCACCAAAACTTATTATGTTCCAAGTGTGCCATTCGTCCTCGTCTTATTTAGTTGTATCTGGTTAAATAATTAAATAATAAAATAAAATAGAAAGCCAAAAATGTTGTCTGGCGGCATTATAACTGGCGCAAAAATGCAAATTTTACGTATTTTACTCGTTGGCATGAGGAAATTAAGATGACAGTTTTAAATTATGTGATAGTTTTTGTTGTGTCCAGCCAAGTCTTTGAATTCATCTCGGGGCTTAATTCTTTGAGATAGTTTGACCATCCGAAATTCTCGTCTTTGTTATTCTTTTCCTTATTATGAACATTTTTCAGTTCCTCCGATAATAATTTGTTTAAAACCTTTGTATCTAAATATGTACCCAAATTAGTTTAAGTATTGTCATTTCCATATTTTATTGACCATTTTTTCAGTTCCAAATAAATTGTGCTTTCCCCGATAAGAATTTGTTTTATACCTTTGTATCTAAATATGTACCAAATTAGTTTAAGTATTGCCATCTCGATTTATGTTTCGCATACGTACCAGTCTCCACTGTTGTTCACCAGGTCGTCGAATCCCTGCTGCATATCCTGCGAAAAGCGATTGAAGTATTTGGGCCCTTGAACGCCCAGGGCGTTAAAGGTCTTCTTCACCGACTCGTTCCAGGCATCCACCATGGACTCCTGCCAGGGCTTGACCTCCACATCCGGGTCGCACTTCTCGCAGCGCCAGCAGCAGAATTGGTTCATCAGGTAAGCGGTGATGGGACTCACCTCCCGTTTGGCGCCTTCGAACAGCTCCTGCGTGTGCCGCGAATTCTCCCATATTCCCAGCTCTTGGGTGCCATATACCGCTCCGGCCACCAGGGCCACTCGGAGGAGCAAGAATGCCATTGGGCCACAAAAGCTAACATACAATTTGGATTTGGCCAAATAATGGTGTTGTTTTATTCTTTGGAAATTTTGACAAAACTCGCTTGGCAATTCAAATTCATTTTTCGGGATTTACTGAAAGCTGTTCTTCTAATCAATATATTAAAATTTTTTTAAGAAAATAAGAACTTAGATATAGTTTGTGCTATTGCTCTTAAATTTATTGATAAATATCTCTTTAGCCATGTCATTTGTGTGAAATTAATTCACCTATTAATCGGTCAGTACGCTAACACTTAACTTGGATAATTGAATCTTTGACTCAACTATGTCGATTCTCCTCAGCAGACTGTCGTGTTGCGCCTTTAGTTCCTTGACCCGATCCTGCTTCTGCAGTATAAATTTCTCTGTTTGATCAAAATCGACCAGCAACTTGGGATAGCACATTATACCAGCTCTGAATCGAACTTCATTGATTTTGGCGTGAAGTTTGTTGTGTATTATGTTTCTAGTGAATAATTTATCGCGCAAGGCAAGATTTTGAGTTTGTTTATTTTGCAGCTCCTTCTTGGCCTCCAGAAACTTGCGACTTAGCAACTTTCGTCGACATCTTAGATGTGAAATGCTATGAACTTTGTTTTTAATCTTGTCATGCATTCGAAGGAGTTCTGCGTTCCTAGCTAAACGGAAATAGGAAAACGATTACATTTAAGTCAAACTCAAAATTATTAAAATTATTTACAAGCAATTAGCTTAAAGCCATAAACTCAGAGTGCAATATTTATTTGTATATTGTCTCTAAGTATACTAATTACATTTAGTAAGATATCAGGACTATACTTACTACTTAGAACGTGGGCTAACTGTTCAACATCGGTTTCGGTGGATAGATACGTATCCATAGTCACTTCTTCAGAAATGGTTTCCAATTCATTGAGTTTCTATGGATGCAAACGTATAGTTTTGCAATGTACTTTATTTTTGAACTTCTCTCACCTGTTCAATAAAGGAATTGTTGTGTTGCTTTATGATCAGAACTAGTCGTACTTCGGACATCTCATCGCGCTTTTTTCTCATTTGTCGAAGCGTATTCTCAGCTATCTTGTATTCAAAGAATTCAATTAGGTTTCGATAATTTAAATCAATTAATACAGTATACAGTACTTTAATCAAGAAAGGAAACAAATTTAGGAAATCCGAAGTTTATATGTATACCCTTGCAACTAAAACCGTATTCCTGAAATATATTCTCAAAGAATATTAAAATAAAGTTGAAAAACCGCAAAGCTATATATTTTGTATTATTTTTTTTTCTGTATTTTATTTTTTTTTTTTAATTATGTTATAGTTGTCAGATTTAAATATTATCAAAACCGTAAGTCTTAAACATTTAACCATTACTATAGCTTAAATATACAAAAAATAAACACGGAAATGGCTAGATCGACTCATCTAGTGATGGTGGTCAAGAATATATACACTTCTGACTGAGATTATAATACCATTATTGAATTACTGCAATCGACTTACGATTTTAAGGCGATCCGAGGGATAAGCGCGGCGAAGTATGTTCTTTCTGATAAGTTCCTCCAACTCCTCGACCTGAGCCTCGTCCTCCGATTGCTTCTGCTTCAACTCCGCGAGCAGACGATCCCTCTCCGCCAGGTGGATATCCTCGGCCTCCCGTTCCCGTTGTAGCCAGTGATCTAGTTCGTACAAGGCGCTCAGATGGCGTCGTCGATTGGCCTCGTTATGGGCGGCACTCGTGCTCGGCGTGATCAGCGAATACTTGGAGCGGCGCAGGTGGTGTTCGGTCAGACGTTTGGTTAGATACTCGTTCTCGTACCGCTCCCAGTAGTTATCGTCGACTTCCTCGACAAGCCGATCCAAGAGTTTACCTTTGTCCAGACTTTCTGTCCGCACATAGTCTGCATTTTCGAACCCCTCCACGACTTTTTCAATAAGATCTGCCAGATAGTTTTCGACATCTTCGCAGATGTTTAAAGTAACCAGCGGTTTCGGTTGGGATTTTTCGGAAGACCCAGATGAATCAGATATAAATGTAGGTCTAAGACTAAGCTTGGGACTTCTTTGCGGCTCCCAATAGCTGCTGTCATCAGATTCCACTTCTGATAACGAGATCGAGGTCAGACTTATGGCATCGGGTTCTAAATTGGGCGGCCAAGCTGCCTCGGTGATCCCTTCGTTTTCGGATTCGGTCAGTGGGGAACTTAAAGTGCTGGTGGAGTGGCGAGCCATGGGACTCCTGAACCTTCCCACGTCCAAAGGGTCCTTCTCCTTTCCCGCAATCCACTGGTCCAGATCCGGGGTCGCTATTGCCCCAAGTTCTTCCAAATCGGGTATATCCCTGAGGCCTTGGAGTAGGTCAAAGCGCCTTCTGATATCCAAGTCAGGTGATACACTTATCTGGCTTTCGCCATTAATGGTTTGGTTGGTGCTTTGGTCAGTCAACTCCGGTCCTTCACTTTGGACGTAAAGATCTTCTTCTATATCTTCACTATCTTCATAATCGGTGGAACTAGTTATAGCCGCACTGGTATCGAATTGTATTGCCTGAACGTTCTCCTTTGACGAGAGTTTCTTGATCTTATATATACTGGGTGGCTTTATCGATAAGCTACTTAATCGTTTTACACTCCCGATAAACGATTTTTTTTTGGACACGGAATTAACGGAATGCTTCGAGTTCCTTTTGCTTCTGCCAGCAGAGATTTTCTTCTTGATGTGTCTTTGCCGCAAAGAAGTTTGAAGAGAGACTGGAGTAATCCTACCACTTGCCGGGGCAGATGGGGCATACTCCGAGTCTGAACTCATGCTAATTGGGGATATGCTGAGTTGCGATTTCGATATATGCAAAGGGCTTGCAACTGACGACATATCCACCTTTTCAATCACATCTCTATCGACCTTGGGACCTTTTTTTGGGCGCACTTGGGCGTTTGTCTTCGAAGATGTACCGCTCCGATCATGGGTTTTAGTTTTAACACCTAACAATTTGGATTGTTTTGGCTTGGCCATTTCCAAAGGCGACAACCAGGTGTGCAGTAACACGTGCGAAATTAGCACGGTGCAAAATGTGTAAAACTAAAAAGAACAAGAAACAACAAAACGTTTGAATTAAATATTGTACAGTGTGATCATGTTTGATTGAAAACTCCTAAAATTGTTTTCTAGAAAATATGCAATATAGTGCTTGGGTATATCCCTAAATATGAACACTTATTGCCATAAATTTAGATCATAATTCATGCATCCCAAAGCATGACCAAATAAAAATATGAAAAATTATTAAAATCGTAATACAAAAATTAACTTCTATCTGTAAAATATTTAATTAAAATTAAAAAAAAAATTAATTATTAGTAATTGTTATCTTAATAATAATAATCTTTACATTAACCAAAATATTTCAAATATAATTTAGCACTTACAGCAACCTTAAAATCGGGTGGAAAACCAAGCTCCTTAGATGGCATATTTTAGAGCATTTTTCTACATTTAGTGTATTTGGTAACACTGTGAAAAACAGAGATGCCAAATAATTTGTACCTGCTTATCGGCACTATCGCATCATTATTACAAGCTTTATTAACGACATTCTTGTAATTGAAAAGGGGCATTCTTCTAGTAAAGCTTAACATATTCGCGAAACAAAAATGACAAAATTCCAAGATCCATAGGTTTTCTTAAAAATAATGAAAATTAGGCAGGTAATTAATAAAACTAATGTGGGAAAATATATTGCCCATTTTCTATGCTGATAAATTATGAACAATTGATCCACAATTTTCAGCTTTGGAGGGAACAACCGAAAATAAAATGAATAATTTTAAAGAAGCTATTAAGTCATTAGGATCAGTAGTTCCATTTAATTGTATAACTCATACGCAAATGAACTCTATAATTCAAAGTTATGTTAAATAAAAATTAATATGCTGTCACATACATATATATAGAATACCCCTATTGTTGTCAGTACTATCGTGATTAACTTAAAATAATCGATAGTGCCGGGCCATAGATAGGCCAGCAATTGGTACTATCGATAGTGACATCGATGTTGTGACAGCACTATAGGAAAAGTGACGTGAAGTTGTGTTGTTTTTTTTTTTTGTTTTTCGTTCGTTTTTCGGTGGCGTTTTTTCGTTGCCCATTCGTCATCGTTTTGGACTGTTTTGTCCTTGGAAAATTGGCCGTTTGCCGTGGAGTTGTGCCTTTCGCCGCGTTTTTTACGGAAACTTCCGGAATCCACGGATGCGCTGTTGTTGTTGTTGCGCGAGCGAAAACGGTAAAAGTCGGCTATCCCGTTTTTTGTCCGCCTGTTGCATCTCTCCCTCTCTTTCCCGCGGGGCTGGAATTGGGGTGGAGCTCGCCCCCTCTCTTTCGCTCGCCCATTCAGCTGTTGCGTTTGCATGCAAGTGCGTGTGTGTGTGTGTGTGTGTGCGTGTGCGTGAAAGTCTTTCGACCAAAGGAATATACGGAATATAAGCAATGTTTTTGGCCCAATAAGCGTGTTTGCTGGCCAAGATAAGTGCCCCCAAAACGAAACTCCATTCCGAAAAGCGTTTATATAATTCGCTTTGCTTTCCACCTTTGTGCGTTTGCCAGCTTTTCTTCTCTTTCTTCCATTCGGTCAACTTGTTTTGCCCGCTTGCCTGTGTGTGTGTGTGTGTGTGTATGAGTTTGTGTGTCGGTGTCGGTGAGTGGTGTGCGTGTGTGCATACATGTTGCTATTAATTTACGCTTTCTGCTCGGCTGCTTCAATTAATTCTTTGGCTTAGTCCACATCCTCTAACTCGAGTGCTTAATTGCCACACACTTCGTTTTCGCAAGCATAAAACGCTCGAAAAAGCTTCAAAAACCCAGCACCCAATCACCGCCCACCCACTTTCCCTCCCACTCTGCGGTTGTATTTAAATTTCGGTCGTTCAATTGTGAAAATCGCGGTTTCACAAAAATTGTGAAAGTTTCGTTTTTCCAATGTTTCGGTTTTTCTACTTACTCTCATGTCTAACAAATATACAGCAGTGGTCAAAAAATGATATACTTTTATAGAATGGAAACAATAACATATCCAAGGCAATGAACGAATAATAGGAA